TTTTTTTTTGCTTTCTATTGTCAATTGAACAATTTTTCTCCTCTCCCCAGGAAGCACTCCTTTAGGATGTTACAAAAAGCTGATCGAATACTACAAAAATGGAGAAATCTCCTTCGAGTTTGTGAAAACCTTCAACATGGACGAATACGTTGGTAAGTGCTGATCTCCGTTTATCTGCAGCGTCGAGGACTTCTCTGTGTGATTTTCGTTGAGGACATTTTCATGAACCCGTGTTGCAGGACTTCCCAGAAATCACCCTGAGAGCTATCACTCCTTCATGTGGAACAACTTCTTCAAGCACATCGACATAAGAGCAGAAAACGCTCACATTCTTGATGGAAACGCAGCTGACCTTCAAGCAGAGTGCAGCTCCTTTGAGGAAAAGATAAAAGAGGCCGGAGGGATCGAGTTGTTTGTTGGAGGTCAGCCTTGATAGCAAAACACTTTAATCCCTTGTTTAAATGGCGTTATGGTTGAAGAAAGATGAAACTAAAATAAATCCTGACATTTTGTTGCAGGGATTGGACCTGACGGCCACATTGCCTTCAATGAGCCTGGGTCAAGTTTGGTTTCCAGAACCAGAGTGAAGACGCTAGCAAAGGACACAATCATGGCTAACGCTCGATTCTTTGATGGAGATCTCTCTAAAGTTCCCACCATGGCCCTGACAGTGGGAGTGGGCACCGTCATGGATGCAAAAGAGGTTAAATTTCAACATCGCATTTATTCGTCATGCCGTTTGGGGTCTTCCTGATAATCAGTGACTGAATTCTGTGGTTTCAAACCGTGTTATTGATTTCTTAATGAGTCACATTTTCTTTCTGGTCAGGTCATGATCCTTATCACTGGAGCACACAAGGCATTTGCTTTGTACAAAGCAATAGAAGAAGGTGTCAATCACATGTGGACAGTGTCGGCCTTCCAGCAGCATCCGCAGACTGTTTTCGTATGTGACGAAGATGCTACCCTGGAGCTGCGGGTTAAGACTGTCAAGTACTTCAAAGGTACGCCAAAACCATATTGCATATTTCCTTTGTCATGCACAAACGGTTTGTATTTAGATTAGCACAAATCATGAAATTGGTTGCATTGAAAAAAAAAAAAGAAACTCACTATGACTCTGGATGAACTTTAGATATCTGTTGGTCTATAACGTAAAATTCCAGAAAATACTGATTTTAGTTGTAATGTTACTAAATGTTTTCAAATATTTGATTACAAAATCTGTTGAATTTTGCTTGTTTTTTTTTTTTTTTTTTTTTTTTTCCAGGGATGTTGGATGTGCAAAACAGGCTAGGGGAAAACCTTCCCTCCCAACAA